GGCATTCATAATCAATGCCAGCAGCTTCTATCCTCTTTCTACGCCTCACAACTTGTTTTAGGATCTTCTCCACCAACTTTTTATGCTCTTCCAACGTTCTTACCTGCATAGCAAAACAGAAGAAATTTTTAAAAAATGGAATCAACAAATCAACTAGTCATTTACACAAAAAGATGCCAGACAACTTTCCTAATCTGATTATTACCTTATTATGCTGTTGTCGTTCAATCTGCACATAATCCACTGGCTTGTATTTATAATTGAAACCTCTCCATCTATATATAAAAGAATACAGATTAATCAATCACCAACTTATCAGATAAATGCAAGGAAAATGGTTGTGCACCTCCACAAAGTATTTTAACAAACTACTGAAAATCTTCTGCTTGGCCACCAAGGGAGAGTAATAATGGTCAGCATAAACAAGCTACCTTCAAATCATTACTTAGTTTGTTGGGCCAAAACATATAAATTTAAATTAAAAAATACAAGTTACATACACATTATTAGTCAGAATCAGCAGGGGGATACATGCTACCCACGACATTATTACTCACCCAAAATGTGTATGTTAGCTAACAAGCAGACATTAGAAACTCTTCACTCAACTAGCTTATCCCACTTGGACTCCTTATCCTCTTAAAGTATTAAAATATCATCCCATCACTCCAACCTCAAGCGAAGATGTAACAAGGTTTAAAGGTCACCGCTTCCTAGATACAAAATCTGGTTAGTAGTCTAGTACAGTGGCACACAAGGTCTTATTGCATCATAAATTTGGGGATAATATACAGTAAATAAAGCACAACTAAATCATTTCAAGAAAAAGCAGAAGAAATTTCCTAACAAAACATGCATGAACGAGAAATGTAAGTTACTGAAAAATTACTCATTGCTTACAATTTTGGATGAACATGCTCAGTAGGGATAATATGGACTTGCAAAAGATGCTCAAACAACAGATAATTATGCATATAATCAGCTACAACTTCAGCCACCTACAGCCAACATGAATTATTGTCAAAATAACAATAATCACGATAAGCATAATTCATTAGACATCAAATAACAAACACTGTCTCCAACCTGCGGATTCTCGAATTCGATGAAACCAAAGTGCTTTGATTTTCCTGTCTGTTAAGCAAAAATGAAAAAATGGCAGAAGAAAGTGATTTCTTAGTAACTATATTAGTTAAAATGTAAGTGAACTAAAAAAGCTTGAGAGTGCAACATTATAACCAGCAGATATCACACTCAACCAAATTACAAAGAAATCCATAATTTTCAATCGAGAAATTTCAAAATCAAAGAAGCAGCAACTGTAACAAGCGGATGTCATTAAAAGAACAAACACTGAAACACATGTAGGAATTTAACACCAAACAAAATCTAAGACACTCATTCTAAAGCATTTTTCCAAAATCAAACTAGAATGCTAGTACCTACAAATAAAAGAAAACCATGCAGTCTATAAGTGCAAATATGCTAGCAAAAACAGAAATATAAACGAATGCACATAATAGTGAATCTGACGGAATTGCTTAAAACCTTTTTATTTCTTGCAATCCTCAAACTCTTAATAGCACCGAACTGCTTAAAATAGGCTGCAAGAACATACCCAGTTAGAAAAAAATTAAAAAAACAAACAAATATCCACTCCTTTGATACAAAATTCATTTACCTTCCATTTCTTTCTCATAAAAACCATGTGGTATTCGACCAATATATAAGACTAGCTTTATTTTGTTGGGGTTTGGTTTCTGGAAGCTCAAGCAATTGATCTCCTTCCAATGGCTTCATGCACAGATATATATGGAGCATTCAAAACCAGTTTAGGGTTACAAAAACAAGAAATAAAATAAAAACAAAATTAAGAAAAAAGATGAAAATATAATTGTAGCAGAGAAACATACCAGGAAATCTGCAGATGCAGTTTTGGAATCAGAGATTGAAAACTGAGAAGAAGCCTTCTTTAAGGCTTTCCTGGATGCTTTCCTCGCCTTCGCCCCCATCTACTCAGAACCCTTCAGAGGCTGCTGTATTTGGAAGACGAAAGCTTAATACTAAAACCCTGCCACTGGTTATAGCAGTAAGGGAAAATATGTGTGTGTATATAATTCAGGCCATGTTTCATGGGTTGAGTATTTAAGGTTCAAGCCCATTACGATTATTTGGCCTTAATTTATAGGAGGCAAATAGGCATATACACAGATCCAATTGTCTTCACGATTAGGACTATTTTCATCCAATTTTTACGCATAATAGCAATTAATTTTATTAATAAATAAAAATTTAATTTTAGTTTTAAAAGTTATAAAAATAAAAATAATTAAATTAATCAATTATTTTTATTACAACCATCAAATAGCTCGAATTAATCACTCAATAAAGAGTTAAAATTCAATTATTTACTACTTTATTTGTTTATATTATGTCAGATTATATCACGAAATTTACTAAAATAATCAGCAATGAATACTTTATGTATAAAATTAAGATCAAAATATAACATCGAAAGGTCTTCTTTATAATATAAAGATGGGGAATTCAGAAAAAATGTTTCACGAAGAGAAAAAGGTGAAATTCATCATCAAGATCATATACCCGGAAGCCATCACTTGGTATTTTTCATTTTCTTTTGTTTTAAGATGTTCATTTTTGTTTCTTTAATCGTTACTATTTCTTTTAAAGAGAAACCCGTATGTCTTCTTCTGGCCGCCTCTTGTTGAGTTTTATATTCTGGAATTTATATTTCATGCGCTTTTAATTCGGTAATTTAAAAAAAAAAAAAACCTTTGATCCTGAAGACTTCATGCAAACTAATTAAGTTCAAGAGCAGAGCTGCTAAAACTTTTAAGATTTATGTTTCTTTTTCATGGGTTATAATGATTAGTGTAGTAAAGTTGCAACATTTTCCCTTTGTGTTCTTTTTTTTTTCATGCATTTTTCTGCTTTTTTTGTTTAATCAAGAATCTGTTTTGAGGGAATGTTTATGGGGGGCTTGGGGGTGAGGCTCAAATTGAAGCACATCTGAAGGAATAGTTTGTTGTCTATTACTGATAGTTATGCTTATGAAATATATATATATAACCCCTTGACTGTTGCTCTGTTCATAGAGATCAGTGGAGGATCTCTTAGTAAATACTAAATCGGGATGTTCCTTTTCCTTGAGTATTTAGGAACTTGCTTATGTTTTAACCTTTTGTTGCATTTGGCAACAGCTGAGTGCCAAATGCATGAATTGGTATGGAAACCCACTCTGGCATTGATATTGTTATTTTGAGATCAAGACATGAGAATTTTTCCATATGAGCAATAAATTTCCTGAAAGAGTATGTGAAATTATTCCAGCAGCAGCACCCAATACGCTTGGATCCATCTTCTGACTATTGTGTGCATGTCATTGAGGCCAAATTTGCTCAGCTTTTTCTTGTGTACTCGATTTTGGTTGTCGTTTACTAGGTTTTTCCATAAATAGCTTATCGCTGTCTAGTTTTTTGTTTGTGTTTCTTTTCTGGAAATGATTGAATCGGTTTGTGTTTCATTCAGTACGAAATGCTCATCATTATCATCTCATTTACTTTGAGTCATCGATTAATTTGACATTCCTTAATCATGCATCCCAGCTACCTGGCAGCCTATTGTTCCTTCATGGGAGAAGAAGTTTTGCACTCTGGTAGGCTCTGTTCTGTGGCGGAAGCTTATTGAAACCAAGAGATTTATGTATCTTTATGACAACGTAGTCCAGTGGAATGACTCGGCTGGTGAGGAGGCATTCCGTAATGCTAAGAACCGGTTTTGGGCTGAGATTAATGGCCTTCCTTGTGACATAATACTCCCTGATCCAGATAGCTACACTGATAAAATCGATTGGGACTCTGAAATTGATTCGGAGTTGCTTATGGACTTGGAGAGAGAGCACAAGGTCTCTAACGAGAAGGATAAAAGTGAGAATGTTGTGATTCTCGGTAATTCTCTTCTTTTGAATCAATCCTTTGACTGTTGTGTTGGGGGAATGCTGAAGAGGGTGCAGTGAAGGAAAATAACATGTCTTCGAATTGGAAGACCAAAGACTACGAAAATTCTTGGGAGCACAATAACGGCAACGCAAAAGATACTGGATATGAGAATTGTTGGAATAACTCCTGGGAATGGAACCAAAGGGAGAACAACTATAATGTTTGGAACAATAACAAACCCAGCTATGCGGATTATAGAAGAAGCGGAGATCGGAGAACACGGGATGTTACCAGAAGAAAGAGAGAAGGTGCCGATCAGTACATGTCAAGGTATAAAACCACGAGATTTAACGGCTGATATTATTTTATTTGTTATGTTTCGGAGTGTATGGTACAAAAATAGGACCACAACAGCTTCTCAGAGCCACCTATTATGTTCGGTTTATGTTGCAGTTTTGTAGTTTGCTTCTTTAGGTCTGTCTGAGGTTTTGAATATTATTTGTAGTCTTTTGAGAGTGATTTTTTCCTGATATGCTTGTTAATGCAAACTTATTGATATATATATATATATATATATATATATATATATATATATATCATTGGCATTCTCTTGCTTTCATCCTGACCAGAACGGGGTTTGTTTTCGGTTCCGTAAGGGCTTTAAATGTATTCAAACCTGAATGAGCTTCTTAGTTTCATGGGGCTGTTTGAGATTTAAAATGGAAGTTTGTTCCACCTGAATCATGGTTTAGGCATTTTATTTTCTAATGTTTTTATTGTCAATGCAGTGCTTTCCCCATTCACTTTCTTAGAACAAGTATAACGTGGGAAGCTGCTAAGGTGTAGATTTTTGTAGTGATTTAATTTCAGATTTCTAACCAAACCCAACAACCAAGGCAAGGATTCTTATATGGTAATCTGAGATCTTAAACCAATATTGTGAAAATTGGTCCAAACAGGCAAATGGACATCATAATTTGATACAAAAAGACAGCTATGCCATCCGCCGGACTGTTAAGTGTCTAGAAGAGTTGTAGGGAGTACAAGCATGCGATGTGAGTTTAGAATGTAAAATTTGATTGTCTAGTGTTGATGTAAGCTGCAATAAAGGGTTCAATATTTCCATCCAGAACAGAATTTAGGTCGGGCAATTCAAGGCCGGTTTTTACATCTCGCACTAACTTGCCGGGGTGAAACATGTACCTTCGGGTCTCCTTTTGCCAGATGTCAACAGAGGCGCCCCCCTTGATGCTACTTACACTGGAGACTCCTTGCTCGTTTGTTACCACAAGAAGTTTGGCCTTTAACCTATTGAGGGCTTTGATTTGATTAGCAAAGTAGCTCCTCTCACCTGCGCATAAAAGATGATTTTGAGGAACAATGCTGGAGCAAAAAGGACGAGTAAATGCTTGAAAAAGAGTGAATAAACCCAGAAGCATTCAAATTGCCAGAATCATAATACTTAGTACCGAAATCAAGCAAAAAGCCATTCCTCTTTCAATGATCACTGTTTTTATATCTTTTCATTTCATGGTCAAAAGCAACTATCAATGACACAGCTCTAAATGAGATTTTCTAGGGAAGTAATGAGATATATTAGTTTCGTTTTGCTGGAATTTAAGGCGAGGGTAATGAAACACGAGTTGAACCGAAACAAAGTATGGATAATGACTTCCGAATTCTGAGAGGAAAATAAGCACCTGAAGATTGAAAAGTTAAAGCAGTAGGGATATGCTGAACACAGACTGTATATCCCCTTCGGCCATGTTTTTCTCCAGCCGACAAAGTGGACGAAAGAATCAAATCATCATCACCGATTTGGAGGTCAGGAGTTGTTCCAAGGAATAGAGGGACGACATCAACACCTACTGAGCTAACCTGCAAGGTATTCGCAAGATGAGGGGGAACAATATTCAGATGACCTGAATCGTAGGTCACAGATCAGGAAGGCACAAATAAACTTACCTCATTGTGAACGGAACCGTTTTGCGAACTTCTTATCATGCAATGGATGCCTCTCTCTCCTGAAAGAAAACCATAAGCATAATCGAATTCAAACTCGATAGTTGCTGACTTGATACCACCACCATTCGTAGAAAGGTTCTTCTCAACCACTCTACCCCTATACCCTTGCTTTCCCCCCCACTTGATATACATGCCAAGAAGTTGTTCAGCCCACTCCTGAATATGAATATTATCTTTTAAGACAGATTGCAGTCCAAGAATCAACAAAACAAGTATATTTTTATGCACTAAAATTTTCTGTTCATGTACCCAACTTGACAATTAAAGCATTTGCACATAATAATGAAGAGTTGGAGTCGAACCTCGGATTTGTTGCCTTCGGAGCCAGCTTTAATAATGACACATGCCCCTTCCATCTCATATGGACCTCTAAGGAGCTTAGATACCTCATATTTATCTAACAAATCATTAATAGCCAAAGATGCATCATATGCCTGCTCAAAGAGACTGTAATTGACTGCATCTATTTCAGCCAATTGCGCAATCAGCTTGGCTTCTTCAGCCTGCAGAAATAAGTAGAGACTGTTCTGTAACTTTCTGAAAACCTTCAGTTATCGAGCGAAACCTAGCCGACTATGACCAGACGAGTATGTTTTAGATGCTAACAAAATCAGACAAAGTCCTATCTGATGTTTATGTGAAGTTTTAAGAGTAGAACTCCTAGTCTCTGCTGCACATCACCTTGTACTTCAGATCTTTGAGAGCGTCAACCACTTTGACACTATCAGCCAACTTGACAAGGATTTCGTTGGATTTAGCCGGGTCATTCCATAGATCGTAATCGCGTACCATCTCTTCTTGCTTTATTCTCCTTGACTCTTCAAGTTCCAAAGCAGTCGGTGCCAACATCTCAGCTCGGAGAATGACATCTTCAATCTTCTTTTTCAATGAAAATAGACCTAATGTAAGTAGTGAAAGGACGTTAACTCGGAACATAATTTTTTTTTTATCAAAACGACACTCTTCCAATGACTAGCAATTTCCTTCTAACTGAAGGAGACCATAAATGATCGGTAATAACCAACTCCTTTCAGTGTTCAAAAGCATAGGGGACGTTGCATAAACATAAGAAAGAAAACAAAGCAACACGCAATCATTCTGGGAATGTGAAAGTACAGTAAGGCGTCGATTTGGTCACTAAGAAGGTAAATTCCCCCAAAAATGAAAGAACAATAAATAGAAGAAAAAAAAGCAAAGTACTGAAACAGACCGAGTTGCTTGTAGGCCTTGTTCTTGTCATCGATGGAATGAGAAGCACGAATGGTGAAGTGCAAAAACTGAATAGTTTTCGACCTTTTATTTGTTGAGGAAGGATATTTCCATGGAGTAGGTGTAGGGCTTCTTCGAAACACAGCTTCTGCCGCCATTTCGATAAGCAGACAGATTCGGCCAAGTAAAGAAGAGATGCGGTCTCGGCAAAGACAAACATATATATTAAGCTAACAAGATACAGTATTGTTGGTTGGAAGCCCAAGGCCGCGCGTTGCCTTATCATTTCTGAGTTGCATAGCATGCCACGTTAGCCCTTATATTTTCTCACCTTTCTTTTAGGCATAATGATTTTAGAGTTAATTTCACAAAAAGTCCCCAAACTATGATACTCATTCAAAATTAGTCCTTATACCTTTAAATATTCCATCTTCATCTCCAAATTATTCTTTCATTCTAAATTAATCTCTAAACTTTGAAATATTCTAATTTCATTCTCAATCTATGACTATCATTCTAAAGTGATCCCAAACTTTTGAATATTTCAATTTTATCCTTAAATTATCGGTATGTACTAATCATATCCATTATTAATAAAATTGTTAAAAAATTGTTAACTGCATTGTAAAAATTAATGTGTAGGTATATTTTACAGCCCAAACCCCTAGGATAAGTGGCATGTACTATCCGAACATCTGATACTAAGTATGTAAACTTGAGAATTAATTTAACCTCCACCTATGTATATATTTGGGGTATGTGACCTATTAGTTATGGTTATGGTTATGGTTATGCTTGAGTTTATGTTTATACGTGTGCCTATTATAATGCTTGAGTGTATGTTTGGATTACATATTACTAAAAGGGGTAAGATAGTTGTTTAACAAAATGAAGATGTTTGAAAGCTTGAAATTGATTGTATTGATGTTCTTATCAGTTAGAGCATATTGGTGCATGATCTTTACCTTACTTGAAATCTGTTTGTTGCTCAAACTTTTAGGAACTATTTTTCTAGAATATAGTTCAATTTAGGGCGAATTAGTCTCGGAACAGCTAAAAAACAGCTTGCTGTTGTGGACTTATGGTTCACAGTTTCGACTGAAATGACATAAAAATACATATTCTGAATTTTCTTAAGCTATTGATAACACGAGCACACCCTCCAGACGCCGTTATTCAAACTCATGACCTCTAAAAAGATCAACATTCTCTTTTACTAATGAAATCACTTAACGGGTTCTTACTACTAATATTTATAAAGTACATTCTTCCCAGTTCTTGTGCGTCTAAACTGAATGGTACGCTTAATTAGGGTATGCTCATGCTAATATGTCGAAATCGATTCTCTCTGTCTTTTCAAATCGGATAAGGATTGTAGATGGGCAAACTTTTGAATATGCATAAAAAGATAATAATACTTCAAAATTTTATATGATTCAAAATGTCAATGGGTTTAAATATATATCAAGAACAAAAATACTTTAAAATTAAATATTTTAATTTAACATGAGGGTATTTTCGTAATTCACTTTTAATAATTAATTTAAAGTTTAAACTTCTATATATAGATGATAAATAAAGATAGCATAAACGAAACACAATGACTTCTATTTTATTTTCAGTCGAACATTGTAATTTCCTGTTTTAAAAAATATAAGAAAGGAAGCAAATACTTACAGCTTTTAGATGAACGATAGAGGAAACGATTATAAAAGGATGAAATTGAAAAGTTAACTTTCTGAATAATAATTTGAACAATAAGTTGTGAAGTACAAAATATGAATTACTTGAATGATAGAAACTTTACCAGTTAGTCAACAACAAGCTTCCTATCTATGCTGGAGAAAGTCTGGTAAAATGCCTTGAAATGTTTGTAAGCAATTTCTATATCTTCCTTCCCACATACTTCTCTCACACTGCAAAAGGTCCAAATCAAGAGTAGAAAAAAATCACTAAGATCTGCAGGAAAATGAGGTAAAAACAGAGAACGGAGCATTGGCAAAATAGGTTATCCATTTTAGAACTACCCTGAACCAGCTCCACTGACATAGGTTCGGTAACATAGTGCAATCAATATTACCTGTGCATAGAAAGCTGAGCGATGCCGCAATCAACAGTACGGATACCAACCCCAGAAGCAAGTATGGGACCAATGGTGGATCCACATCCCATATCATTTCTTACCACAAATTCCTACAAAGAAAACATAAAATGTATTCACAACTGTCTCAAAAATAATATGTATGTATGTATGTATGTGTTTGTGCATTATATAATAGAAGAATGTGAACATATGGCTGTCTAATATTTTGGTGTCAGTGCTTCAACCAAGATAATGTTACTAAATAGATGAATCATATGGTTAGATGATAATGAACAGGGAGCCAAACTAAAACTTCTGCAACGGGACGCCCAAATAATGATGCTATACTATAACTATCATATCTCTAATGACCAAAACAATTTAGGTCTACACGTAAAACGTGTGATAATCTTCTAAAATCCATTTACTTATCAGTGACAACATTTCTCCAAATATCACCTCCTCTACTTGAATCATCTCCCCTTCTTTCTTCCAAAAAGCAACCAACAGGCAAAAGCAGGAGGCATCTTAATGCTTGTTTGTGAGCCATGTGACATTGTGTTTCTAAACCAATATTCTGATAAGATATCAAGAAGTATAATGAATCTGAGGTGTGATTTGTTTATAAAGTGAATGAGGGTATTACTCAGAAATGTTGAGCTCTCTCTCTCTCACGCACACAAACAAAATCTTAATTTTCAAATTAGACAAAAATTGTAATGTATTCAAGCAACACTGTGAATAATTGTACATGCATGAAATACTTTGAGTGTGATCATACTATTTTGATTTTAAAAATGAATCTATGCCGCAAAACCAATGCAATTGATCCCCATGGCATAGAAAAAGGAACCTCAAGAAAGAAATTATATCTCTACAAAAATTTTCATACAGAAAGCAGCAAGTGAACTGATTCAATTGTAAGTCCTTGACTATAATATGGAAACCGGGTCACCTGAGTAGGAAGATTATGAAGTTTTGCAACTTCTTTGAAGAGAAAAGATGTTACGCCACTGGTAGCATAAGGGTTCATTGAGACAACAGATGGTAATTGCAAATATGTGAAACATGCCACCAGAATGCAAACACAACCAGAGATTTGAAAGTTCATGTTCTACCAATCAAAAGTCTTACATCAATCCATGAACGTGTATTAAGATTAAATATTTTCCATATTTGCATATGTTACTTAATCTCAGATTACACGTGTCTTCTAGATATTTTTAACACAAGTATGGCTCTTGTTATTCTTCTTAGGATACAGGCTGGGATTAGAAAGCCGCAAGAATTAAAATGGTAAGGCAACCCAGAAACAACCCACTTGAGTGACTGGTCCTTTATTCAACCGGATTAATAGGGTTTAAACTGGATGCAGAAATATTACATTTTAATATAATTTGTTGTTAAAATATAAATAGAACATAGGTGAAAGTTCTGATTCCCAACAATAACAAAACAACAAAAACAATAATTTTGGTCCACAACAAAACCGAATGACCTGAAACTACATCATTTTGTTCTAAACTGGTTGAATGCAAGTTCCACTGATTCCCAACTCAACCAGTTTGATCAGCTGCCTATTCCAGTTTCCAAAACAGTGTTAATTTATAAGCTGTGACCAGGTGTCTTTGGAGTTTGGATCAAAACAATAATTTCCATGTTAACAGGATTGATCCCCCTTGATAAGCTCTAGTTTCACTCGAGCTCAGTTGTTATGCCTAATTTGTTTTTCCTATGCTTCTTGCTTTTTGAACTTCTCAAATGGCTGGAGCTCGAATTCATTTGTTATGTAGCCTAGACTCAGATGCCTATGCCTTAATCCTTTCTTATTCCGTTAGACTCAGTTGCTCAATTCTTTTGGTTGATGGCAACCCCTGGATGGAATTCCATCCAAGTATGTCTTTGAGTACAAATGCACTAAGTTTTTTCTTCAAAACTTTTCCTCCGATTAGAAGAGCTATAATCCCCATCTTCATTCCAAATTGAAGGAGTCAAACATGAGTCTTACGGAGAAATTAAGAAATATAGTATCATAGGTGATAGAATTTCTCTTGGGGACAGTGAGACGGAGTCTCGAAGACATACTATTCTACATATTTGACATGCAAAGGTTAAGACCTTTCTGTCATCCTTCTCAAAAGAGAATAAAAAAGACCTAGATTCTAAAAAGGTACTATTTTTTCTTTTTAAGATGATGAATAAGTATTCTTAATAAGCAATAAAAGCATTAACAAAATTCTGAACAGAAGCATTGCAAAGAGTTCAATTATGCAGTTAAAAGCTTCTAGTTGATACATACCAAGAAAAGACTGGCGAATTACACGGTCAAAGGCACTTTCACCAGCATAACTATTGGCTAATGAACCAACAATGCGTCTCATTGCCTGAAACATAGTTGGTGCCCCTGCTCCTTGATATGAATCCGAACCTACCTGTCCAACAGAAGTAAGAATTCTGTAATTGTATAATTCTAGGAGGAAGATGAGTATTAAAAGACTCAATATTTACAAGAAGAATAATACAGAAACATGCCTACTTGAGAACAGAAACATCTTATTATAGCAATTTACTTTTGGGAAAAAAAACTTTGATTCTAAAAGGTTTGAAAGTAATTAATAGTTATATAAACTTCTACCAGATAAAATTAGCTTTTAAAGTATTTGACCAGAAACTCTCTCAGGTAACAATTTCTTTCATACAAATCTTGTAGGAGGCATATTTTTCTGTTGAGTCCAACTCTAGGTTGCATGCATGTACTGACAGATGACAGACAAATTTTGATTGTATGGAAGCATGTACAACATATATTCCTTGGCAGACAGCAATCCGGTTCACAAGTCCTGTCTGTGCTAATAATTGTTAAAATTATGTACGAGGTTCTAATTTTTGTGTTGAATTCAAGCTTCTCAAGAAATGATCTCAGCAAATGATTTATTTCATTATCCATCTCCCTATGTAGCATTTTTAGCTAGAGGAACTCAGATTGCATAAGCATGTTAAGTAGCACACATTGCCTGAGGAAAGCACATGCAAATAGAAAACTGATAGCAGGCTGCAAGCCATATTTGTAATGATAATTGTGTAACATTCGTGTTTATGCCACTAGATCTTTAGTTTGATTCAATACTCACTTCATTTTTGAGATTAGATGGGTTCATACAAAGAAATTAGGGTTCTGTCAATAATCTTGGCTCTCAAGCCATGTTATTGAATCATGTTCAGAATTACTACTACAAAGCCATCTAGTCATTCAAATAGGCTCAAGCTCCTTTGATAAGCATACACAAATATATATCTCTGGAAAAAGTTTACCTCCTCATTATCAAATAAAGCAACCATCCGAATAGCATGCTCACTTGATAAATCACCAGGAGACCCACATGAATCAACCAGAGCTCGCAAAGCACAATAACTCGAAGCAAGATTATCTAACCTTCCAGAGAATATAAATTCATTGTTTGCGCCTCCAAGACAGCTAGGTTGGGTATCACAAATATTCAACTCAATATTGACAATGTCATCAACATCACAGCCAAGCTCATCTGACAAAATCTGCAAGCAAATGTAAGAAAAATATTTAACACAAGTGTTCTATCAACACCACGAATTACATAAACCTGGTTGATGGATACCTATCTTAAACAACAGATATAATGATTACATCTTGCACAAACAAAAGAATCAATTATAAAAAAAATAAAATAATAAGAGGTTAGGAATAAAAAGTCGTGAAGCAAATTGAAAAATGGGTAGTAATGGATGTTACAAGGCAGCAACTACAAAAGGACAGACTAACCATTTGTGAAGTCTAATCATGCAATATTCTCTTTTCTTTACCTTTTAAAGATAACAAATGATAAAAAGAAAAGAAAAGAAAAAGACATCTTTAAAGAGGTTCATCCATACATAAAAACTGCAATTATCCAAATTTGGATACCATAAAAGAAACACATAAGGATTTTTCAGACACTTCACATGAAGCCACTCCTGGTCGTATATGCATCCTAGAACTTTAGTCAGACACTTCTCTATTGCAATTAAATAATGACCTATTAGCACAATTCACGCATGTAAAAGGCTCATTTGTTTTTCCCCAAGCAGGTAGCCTTGTGAACCAACTCTCTATGTACCATACACAATAAAGTCTTCTTTGTTCCTTTATTCTAAAAAAAAATCTTAAGGATTGACATTGTTAGCCTTAAATAGATCATTACTGTCAAATGAAAAAAGAAACATACAGTAATTTTCCAAACTAAATTTCCTTGATATTTTGTGTATTTTAATTCGAAAACTCACTTTGTTTCTACTTTAGGTTTGGAAGGCAGGTAGTTATAGTCACACCTTAGAAATGAGAGGTAATGATGTACAGGTTATACCTTAGCCTTCAAAAGATGGTTTTAAAGCTTGAAGAAAGTAGACCCTTTAGTAAGGGGCGCAAAGGGAAAGAACTACAACAAATTCGTTAATGCCTTAAGTTCCATGTATATTTCTTCTATTGTTGTTTTCCTGTTATATTTATTTAAATTTAATGTTGAAAAATCTGATTCAAGCCAATTCAGCCCCCTTTACTAGATTGCTTAACCACATTTAGCTGATAAGAATCATACCAATTTAGTTAATAGGAATCATACCAAGTAAAATATTATTACAATCTATGGGCATTTTCTCTTCTTGTTAGAGCTTCTTTCTAACAGATTCTGAGGGGGGGACGAGCTTAATCATAACAAGTGCAATATCATTAAATCAATTTTAAATTGCTTGAACAGCTCCAAACAATCATAATTCAAAAACATATACCTGCATAAGAACTGGATGATGAGCACCCTTGGAAGACGAAGTACCTTGCTCTTTTGATTCTGCAGGTGCTTCTTCTGGTTTTGTTGCAAGTAGTGGAACAAGGTGAGTCTCTAGATTTGGTTTGAATCCATCAGTGTTCACTGTGCTAAATCATTTTAACAAAAAAAAGAAGAAAAAAGTCAGTGTAGACAGTGAATGAGGACGCATTGATAATCGATCTAACAAACACTAATATATCTGCACATGAAAGAGAATAATTCAATTAAAACAATTTTGAAAAATCTTCTATTAGTAACCTAACAACACTTTTTTTTATTGTCCATCTTCCTTTTAAGATGGAAAAGGAAATAAAATGTTGGAAATAAGTGATCTTATGAATATTCACTAACTGCTATATATATGAAATATCAACATGTTTTGCAACTGTATATCTTGAAATTTTACCACTTGAGCATATGAAATTTCAAATTTATACAGAAGCTGGCACATGAATGATCTTGCTGTCAGTTTTGACACAAGTGATTACTTTCAACAAAGGAAATAAAATGGTAAACTGAAATTCTAAGTGTTCAGACAACATTATGGGATAATCAGAAAGATGCGTCAACAGGTTTTAGTTTAAGAAGGGACAAGTTGAAGAATAAATTCCATCTATTTAAAACCAAGCATGGACACACACACACGCATAGAGATGAAAAACAATGCAAGATCATGAATGAGCATAGCAACAGAATTCACTCCATGGTAACTTAAAAGACTTCAATGAATCTAGCAGTATCATAACATTGTCAACTAACCATGAAAGTTTGAGCAAATAAGATCTTCAGATTGTTTTTAGAGGAACTAATTCATTGAAACCAAGCAAATGTTAATCCATTATCCAGTTAAATCTTCACTTGATCAGAGTGTGAAATTCCTTTGTTATTTCAATTCTTTTAGATGTTCTGCTATAGTCTGTGCATGATCAAAAGTTATTATTTCATGTGCCTGTCTTCTGGCATAACATTTATGGTGATGAAATTACCAATTAGTCTTCCAAACTTTATCCTATTTAGGGTGCGTTTTATATGTTTCTATGACTCGGCCAATAGGAATTCATTTTTAGAGGAAATTATGAGGACAATACTAATTAATCTCGCCAAAATGTTATTGTTGCCTAATCAAAATGGAGGGTATTTATTAAGTATCTGTGGTATCTTCCAGCTAAAATTATTTTACAAAAACAATAGAAACTAATTGACAGAGATCAGTGGAAGAAAAATATAAACAATGATATGAACTATAGATGAGCAAGACAAGGAATTTTAACATAAAAATGATGCCGTCCGCAAAACTTATCTCCTCATCCAATTTATCGGCTCCAATAGGTGATGAAATTACAAGTGTTCATTTCAACAATAAATACCAAGATCATCACTAGCCAATCTCAATAAAGGCATTAATCATTTTTTTTTAAATTCCAAGAGTATTTGCAATATCCTAGCATAAAATAACATAATTCTGAAATGGTTATTTAATGGAGAAGTAGATAACCGGTCAAGATGAATTGCCAGTGTGGGTACTCGTAGAAGAGGTCTCTTTATTTTGACAAGCTTGTGGACAAACGAACCATCACTAGCTCTGACAATGACTCTTCCAGCAACACTTAGGTCTCTGTCAAACCAAGTGTGCCACAAGCCACCACCATAAGTTTGTACATTGAGCATGAGATAATTGGACTTCAATGAAGCTGATTTTGGTTTAAGTTTGAGACAAGGACTGTCTGTATGTGCAGCAATAACATGAAAGCCATTACCAACAATGTAACTGCAAAACTAACACGAGCTTACCTTGAATGTTCTTTTATTTTGAAAATTTTAAATCAAAATTTTCAAGATTTATTCCACTCACTTTTCTCCAACGGCGAAAGCCACCAAACAAGACATGTTCCTAGTAAAGAAGTAGCGCCCACCAGGCTTAAGGTCCCACTCATCATTCTCACTTAGTAAATGAAAACCAGCAGCAATTACCTGTCGTTTTGCTTCAGCTGTGTACAGGAAAATTTTCATGTTTGGCCTCAGAAGCTATATATCGAGAAGTCACATCATATATGAATTTAATTCAGCTTTATATCAAATTTTCGCCAGCTATATCTTGATTAGTTCGTTTATTAGTTTCACTTCCCCTAGCAGATGTGATCATTATTATGTCAAAATGTGTTATACTAATTAAGATCATGACACGATTGTAGTTTCTACTTGTACATAAAATTAGAGATTTCATTAATAAATTAGCAAAAAAATCAAATTAATATTAGGCAAAGAACTGCTAATAAATTACATATAGAAGTTGGAAAGAATTGGTAATATGTTCAAATATTAAAACAAAAATTGAAAGAAAATGATGGAAGAAAGGTGTTGATATTCGGTAAACCTGTAGCGTGAAACTGAGTCCAGGATTCGTTGAGATAATTCAAAAGGTCTCCGACAATGGGTAGATTCGTGGATGCTGAGGAGGCGGAGGCGGAGGTGCAGGATAGAGAAGAGAAGGAGAATTTGCGGCGGCGGGTATTGATGGAGAAAGGGGAGTGCGAATAAGGTAGTCTGGAGAAGAAGGTTGATGGGTGGTGCAGGAGTTGCGCTCGACTTATCGCTGCCATCGCCTACGGTCCTTTCCAGGCCTACACGGCTACACTCCATTCTGCCTAAATTATTCTCAAGAGTGAAATTAAAACTAATTTTACAACAAAAAATAATCAAATTTATTATATTTTTCTTATTTAAGGTACGTTAATGTTTTTAAATTAAAACATTTTTTATATTTTTGTTCTATTGTCATTTAAAAATAATAATTTTTAAAAAATCCCCAAATCACTATTTTTTTTATAAAAAATTATACTTATCATTAAATCATTGTTCTCATTTCTTTTCATCACTAAATCTCATTCTAAAATTAAATTTTTAAATCTTAATTTTTTTAATTTTAACCATTAGAAAATCACAACGATATAAATATACTGATAATGATAAACCTTTCGACGACAAAATAAGATTATAAAAGATTTAAATATTTAAACATTTCGAGTGATGACAAAAGAACAGTTGATCAATGGAAGTTTGACAACAAAAGAAATAGATAGTTATAATATATTTGATGATGTAGAGTTATTAATGAGGATAAATGGGTGATTTGAGGATTAAAGATTTAACAATTTTATTGGTATTTTTAATTTGAGGATTTAAGGTTTTTTTAGAAAATTAATCATTTTAATTTTGTTAAATGAGAATATTAAAATCAAATCATATGCCAAGTATTTATTGGATAAAAGTTTTTTTATGAAATTTGAAAGTTATGCCTTAAAATGATAACAATATGAAATATTAAATACTTGATTCAACAAATTTTTTACATATCTTGAGATATGTTATTCAGCTTCTCATAATACTACTTCTAACCATTTGAATTATCAAACGAACACTCTCAAAACCCAAAATATAATAAAACTCTAAACCCTGAAAAATCATATATCGACGAACTCACCTTGCGTTTAATGTGCCACTCTGTGATTTAGATTTTCCAAAATATCTACTCATGAAATCAAACACAAATAATTCATGCTTTTAGAGGAGGTTTAGAAATTTATCGGAATTGAAATTGTTCGTCTTAAAATTCAAATATAAAAGATATTCTTTTGAGAATATGAGCAACATATCTCAAAAATTAATCTCATCGAACATGTGTTGAAAAAACATTGATGCATTAAAAGATATAAGTTTTTGATGATTTTCTTTTGGTTAATTATGAGTAAGTTTTATTTAAAATAAATAAATAAATAAACAAATTAGAAGAAAGAAGAGAGGAATAAAAATAATTGGTACTAATTTTATCGCGCAATTATCGATGACAAATGAAGATTAAACGATGATATCAATCGAAAATTTTATGATTTATGATAAAAAGAAGAAGAAGAAGAAGAAGAAGAAGAAGAAGAAGAAGAAGAAGAAGAAGAAGAAGAAGAAGAAGAAGAAGAAGAAGAAGAAGAAGAAGATAATGACCATATCATAACCCTATTAATAATTTAACTTCTAATTTTGGTCATTAATCATTAGACCGTTTAATTTAGAATTAATGATATAATTTATCCTATAATATTTTATATAAGAGTAAAAGTATAAAAACGGTCCTTCGACTATATGATACTATTTTATTGTGCCTCCTCCTATTAAAAGTTATAAAATGTTCCCCGACTATTCATTATAATTCAAACTCGTTCTTTTCTGTTAATAAGTTAACAGTAGTATAAATTTGACATTAACATGCTACTGATATATGGTAGTTGTTTGAGATTATAAGATTAGATTTTATTACATCTCAATCACCAAGTTAACATACAACTCAAAGTATTGTTAATTTTTTAACAAAAAATGACGAGTTTAAAATATAATGAATAGTCTGGTGATCATTTTATAACTTTTAACAGTCGAATGACTCAACAAAGCAACTTCCTATAATTGAGGGATTATTTTATAATATTTAATTGTCATTTCACTCAACAAAATAATATTCTACAGTCATGGTACCATTTTTTTACTTTACCATTTATATAATTACACAAAATACCATATATCACAAGCTATTGCAAATCTTATAATAATTTACGCAATTACACAAGAACATTATCACATTTCAATCATTATATTATTACGCAATATTAACCTTATTTTACTGTGAGTTTTTTTGGCGTTTTTCCTAAAAAATCACCGATGACCGGTATATTTACCGATCTAACATCAGTCAGACTATATTTCCCGATCTAACACCCTTTACAGTAAGGCGCGCCCCCTACAATGCGTTATACGTTGATTTGGCGCCACGTGGGGTAAGGCGCGCCCCCTGTGATGCACCTTATGCTGATATGGATACACATGTGAACGGGCGGGGGTAATTTGGTAATTAAGGGTATAGCGCGGTGCAAGGGTCGCGCCTTACCTGTGATTCTGACTAGCGTCAGAAAGGCGCGACTGATAACTCCTTGAAAAGGTCATATTTTGGGACCTTTTCACTTAAGTTATTGAATGTCTAAGAGCCCATTTAGGACCATTTAGATGCATTTAGGAGCATATAGTTGCATGTGGTGGATTTCAGTTTGCCGTGGCATTTTATTTTTACAGCGGTGCTGCTTTATGGGAAAGGTACTTGTCTGATGATGTGCAGGTGTTGAAAGCAAGGAAAAGAAGATTTAAAATGCCGTGACATAAGGATATTGTTGAGCTAAATAAAAATGCCAAGGTCAAATGGCATTTCAGGAGCGTACAAGGAGAGAGAAGATATTTTCTAGCCAATTGTCCCGGATTTTACGCATGCTCTGCCTGAGATACCCACCGCAACATTTTGGCGCTTCAACCACCGGTTCTGTTGATGACGTTGCCTAGTCTGACCCTGCAGATCCTGTCGGTCCTAGGGCGCCTGTAGCGGGATTATGCTGGTCTCTAGCCAGCTACCTAGGTTGTATCATTGCCTAGTCTGCTCGACTCCCAAGCAACTCAACCATGGTTTTGGGGTTTCCTATGATGGTTAACACCAAACCTTAGGATTTCTTTTCCCCTATAAATAGAGGAGGAAGCCATATTGAAGAAGACTTTAGTTCCAACCACATTTGATCTTAAAAAGTTAGAGAGAGAAAGTCTCATATTTCTCCGTCAATCCCACTTGTCGTGGCATTTCTCCTTGACTAGCAGAAGGGAGTGGCGTTTTGAGCATCCGAGAGGAGCTAGTCCGCTGGAACAGTCCTTGGTGGCCGAGGAAGGCATTTGGCAGTGCACGTTGAAGGCTTTTTCTCCTCCCCTTAGTACTTGCTTTTATATTTTGTTGTTAGGTTGTAAGGAACGAATGAATCTTGCTTTGTGCTTGTTGATTTCGAACCCCAGCATGAACTAATCCTATTTGGTGGGAGTTCGCATGGTTATTTAAGTTGTTATTTTAATGAATGGTTGTGTTTCATGCTCTATTCTGTTTTGTTTATGATGCTTAAAGCCTTGAGGTTGTATGAGCTACGAGAGTAGCCTTTCCTTAGGAGGGCTCATGAGGTTCGAGAGAATGCCTTGGCAATTTATCTTTAGTCTTCGAGAGAAGCTAGGGAGGAACTATATAAACAACGGGTTCTAGATAGTAACTAGGCCTAATCCACCTTAGAGATAAGGATAGGATTTCATTTGGCTAAAAGGAGTTGTGTATAAACGATAGGTTAGATGTTAATGCTGCCGCAAAAAGGTATTGCCGAGACATATTCTATTAGCTGAGTCAATAGGATCACTGCTTGGGCTTACGCCAATCGGTTTTGCCAGGGCATCTTTAGTCTGTCGAGTCCCTTACTAGAGATAGCATAGGGCACATCAGTAGACTCTGTCGGGTAGGGTAAGCATAGAAGAAGCACCATTCAGAGAAATAAACTTAAGTTTTCGTTGTGTCTCCCATCGCTCATTTCCATTGATGCTTATCTTGTGAGAAAGCTAAAGTCCTACATATAGTAAATCTAGTATTTGCATTTTTATTTTGCCTTGACATTTCCATTTGTTTTCACATATCACAATTTAATTTGCCACGACATATCCATCTACTACCACACTATCACCACTCCATTTCCACTACGTCCATTCCATTTTGTCACAGCATTCTCATCTGTATATACCATAACTAACTTTACTTAGGTGACAAAGTAAAGTGCCTTGACAAACCTATTTGATTTCCCCAATTCCCTGTGGAGACGATACTCTACTTATCACTTTATTACTTGTTCGATTGTGTATACTTGCACACATATCCGCATCATATTTTAGTACTCACAAATAGCGGACAAGTTTTTGGCGCCGTTGCCGGGGAATTGGCAACTGGAAGTTAATTAGTTTTGTCATAGCATTTTTATTTTACTTGTTTAATTTTTTTGTATAGTTTTACTTGTTATTTTCCTTATCTTTATCAGGTTTTTATTTTACGTACTCAAAGTGCTCCAGCAAAGATGTATCAAATTGGAAATCAAGGAATAGGTCAAGAGGAATATCAATATGCCGAGGCAATTCCGAATGCTGGGAATGCAGCTAGGCCTCGTAGTATTCGAGATCATTTAAATATTATCATGGATGAACTAAATCCTGGAATTTTGGCACCCATGATTCAGACAGCCCACTTTGAGCTCAAACCGGTTATGTTCGACATGTTGGACTTTATTGGACAGTTTGGTGGTGCTCCTCATGAGGATGCAAGGCAACATGTTCGGGCATCCAACTCAGCATGTCTATTATGCCACGCAATCACAATGAGAGTGACTGCCCGACCAATCTAGAGTCCATCAACTTTGTAGAGAACTACAATCGAGGTAACAACAACCCCTATTCTAACGATCTTGGATGATGTCAACATCCAAACATTTTGTGGGAAAATCAAGGAACCATCAACTCTAGTCAGCCCGCTAGGCAGCAGAACTTCAGTGACTCCCAGAGTTTTCAAACGAATATGCCATGGCATAATTCTAACGAGGGAGTAACATATTCATCTAACACAAGCTCTTTGGAGGCCACGATGCAAGATTTTATCGCAACAATGAAGACCATGCTGCAAGACCATGCGACCTCTATAAAAAGTCAAGAAGCTCTGCTTCAGAGCCACAGTTCGTCGTTG